GTCTATTTGTTTGTCTGTTTGTTTGTCTGTCTGTTTGTTTGTCTATTTGTCTGTTTGTTTGTTTGTCTGTTTGTTTGTCTATTTGTTTGTCTGTTTGTTTGTCTGTCTGTTTGTTTGTCTATTTGTCTGTTTGTTTGTTTGTCTGTTTGTTTGTCTATTTGTTTGTCTGTTTGTTTGTCTGTCTGTTTGTTTGTCTATTTGTCTGTTTGTCTATTTGTCTGTTTGTTTGTCTGTTTGTTTGTCTGTCTGTTTGTTTGTCTGTTTGTCTATTTGTCTGTTTGTTTGTCTGTCTGTTTGTTTGTCTGTTTGTTTGTCTGTTTGTTTGTCTGTCTATTTGTCTGTTTGTTTGTCTGTTTGTTTGTCTGTCTGTTTGTTTGTCTATTTGTCTGTCTGTCTGTTTTTTTGCTTGTTTGTCTATTTGTTTGTTGTTTGTTTGTTTATTTGTCTGTTTGTGTCTGTCTGTCTGTTTGTTTATTTGTCTGCTTGTGTGTGTGTTTGTTTCTTTGTTTCTTTCTGATCGTTTGTATCTTTCAGTTTGTTTGTTTGTTTGTTTGTTTGTTTTTTTGTTTGAAATGCAGCAGGTTCTGTAAAGTTCTACAGTTGGACTTGTTGCTCAGCTGTTCTTGTTGGGTCTGTGTTCTGGTTCTGCAGCAGCTCACAGGTTTCATTCAACAAGAAGCTCATCTGTTTGTTTGTTTATGTTTACTTGTTTACAACGGTTCTGACCCGATCTGCTTGTTGTTGTCAGTCGAGACGGACGTCGTTCTGTCCCATCGACGAGAGACCGGACTGTGAGAACGCCGAGGATTCTGGGAAAACTGCGGTGGTGTTTTCTCTGAAGAACGAGGTCGGCTGTCTGGTCAGAGCCCTCAGACTGTTCCAGGTCAGAACCAGAACCACAGTGAGACCAGGTCTCCATCCAGACCCAGAACCACTTCATTCAGAACCAGAGTCTGGGACAAAGTTTGACCCTCTTCTTCCTGCAGGAGAAGCGGGTCAACCTGAACCACATCGAGTCCCGGATGTCCAAACGGGTCCCGAACGAGGTGGAGATCTTTGCCAGCTGCAGCTGCAGCAAGAAGGAGTTCAACGAGCTGCTGCAGCACCTGAAGGACCAGGTCAACATCGTCTCCTTCAACACACCTGCAAACGTCTGGTCTGCTGAGGCAGGTACGAGCTCACCTGACAAACACAGGTACCAGCAGGTGTAACAACAGGTGTAAACACAGGTATAGACACAGGTATAAACGGGTGTTAACACAGGTGTGACAACAGGTACCAGCAGGTGTAACCACAGGTATAAACACAGGTATAAACAGGTGTAACCACAGGTGTAAACACAGGTACCAGCAGGTGTAACAACAGGTGCAAACACAGGTATAAACACAGGTATAAACGGGTGTAAACACAGGTGTGACAACAGGTACAAACAGGTATGACAACAGGTACCAGCAGGTGTAAGCACAGGTATAAACACAGGTATAAATGGGTGTAAACAGGTGTGACAACAGGTATCAGCAGGTGTGACCACAGGTGTAAACACAGGTGTAAACACAGGTATCATAAGGTGTGACCACAGGTGTAACAGTAGGTGTATACACAGGTATAAACAGGTGTAACTACAGGTGTAACAACAGGTGTAACAACAGGTGTAAACACAGGTATAAACAGGTGTAACTCCAGGTGTAAACACAGGTATCAGAAGGTGTGACCACAGGTGTAAACACAGATATAAACAGGTGTAAACACAGGTATCAGAAGGTGTAAACACAGGTATCCGCAGGTATGACCACAGGTGTAAACACAGGTATCATAAGGTGTGACCACAGGTGTAACAGTAGGTGTAAACACAGGTATAAACAGGTGTAACTACAGGTGTAACAACAGGTGTAACAACAGGTGTAAACACAGGTATAAACAGGTGTAAATACAGGTGTAAACACAGGTATCAGCAGGTGTGACCACAGGTGCAAACACAGATATAAACAGGTGTAAACACAGGTGTAAACAGGTGTAAACACAGGTTTAAACACAGGTATAAACAGGTGTAAACACAGGTATCAGCAGGTGTAAACACAGGTATAAACAGGTGTAAACGCAGGTATAAACAGGTGTACAGGTAAACACAGGTATCAGCAGGTGTAAACACAAGTACAAACAGGTGTAAACACAGGTGTAAACACAGGTATAAACACAAGTACAAACAGGTGTAAACACAGGTGTAAACACAGGTATAAACAGGTGTAAACACAGGTATCAGCAGGTGTAAACACAGGTATAAACAGGTGTAAACACAGGTATAAACAGGTGTACAGGTAAACACAGGTATCAGCAGGTGTAAACACAGGTACAAACAGGTGTAAACACAGGTGTAAACACAGGTATCAGCAGGTGTAAAGACAGGTTTAAACACAGGTATAAGCAGGTGTGACCACAGGTGTAAACACAGGTACAAACAGGTGTAAACACAGGTGTAAACACAGGTATAAGCAGGTGTGACCACAGGTGTGACCACAGGTGTAAACACAGGTATAAGCAGGTTTAAAAACAGGTGTGATTACAGGTGCATATTCAGGAACAAGCAGGTGTAACAACAGGTGTAAATACAGGTACCAGCTGGTGTGACCACAGGTGTAAACACAGGTATAAACAGGTATAAACACAGTCCACCTGCAAACTGCTCCTGTCTCTGCTACAGGAAGTGAATAAACCAAACTTGTGTTTGTTTCAGACGATGAGGACGTCCCCTGGTTCCCCATGAAGATCTCTGAGCTGGATCAGTGTTCTCACAGAGTCCTGATGTATGGGTCTGAGCTGGACGCCGACCACCCTGTGAGTTTTTATTACGAAAACTGACCGAAGACAAGGAGACGTGTCCCCATGTCCCCATGTCCTCATGTCCTCTTGTCCCAGACTCCATTTTGGACGTTCTTCTTCTCTCCTGTCAGGGTTTTAAAGACAACGTTTATCGTGAGCGCAGGAAGTATTTTGTGGAAGTGGCCATGAATTATAAATTGTAAGAAGCTCTTTATTTTTAGAGAACTTGAGTTTTGTCCTCGTTTCTTCCTGTAAACTTCAAACATCTGAAACATCTGGAGATGTTCTGTCAGAGTCAGCAGTTTGTTTCTCTGCAGCGGGAAGCCCATTCCTCGCATCGACTACACGCCGGAGGAGGTGAGGACGTGGGGCGTGGTGTTCCGGGAGCTGACCCAGCTGTACCCGACACACGCCTGCAAGGAGCACCTGAAGAACCTGCCGCTGCTCACCAAGCACTGCGGCTACAGAGAGGACAACATCCCCCAGCTGGAGGACGTGTCCCTGTTCCTCAGAGGTGGGTCAGGTGTCCGCGTGCTGTCCCCGCACACGCTTACACGACGTGGACGACATCACTTCCTGTGTGTTTCAGAGCGCTCTGGCTTCACGGTGCGGCCCGTCGCAGGTTACCTGTCTCCACGGGACTTCCTGGCTGGTTTGGCCTACAGGGTCTTCAACTGCACCCAGTACATCCGCCACAGCATCGACCCGCTCTACACCCCAGAACCGTGAGTTCACACACCTGTGTCGTCCGGTCCGGTTCTGTGTTCTGGTGACCCATGATGCACCTGGTTCTGTAACGTTTGGTGCGCAGCGGTTCTGGTTCTGCTGGGTGTGGTCTGTTTTGGTTAACAGGGTCCATCTGTCCGCCCCCACATTCTGGACTAGTCAGTGAGTGGGTCTGAGCAGAACCCACCATGTCTTACCTGAGAGGACAGGTGATGACGGTGGGTTTGTCTCCGCCCTCAGGGACACGTGTCACGAGCTGCTGGGACACGTCCCTCTGCTGGCCGATCCAAAGTTCGCCCAGTTCTCCCAGGAGATCGGACTGGCCTCGCTGGGCGCGTCTGATGAGGATGTCCAGAAACTGGCCACGGTAAGGTGGATCTGGACAGGTGTGTGAACACACCTGTCACACCTGTTAAACTTGTCACACCTGTTAAACTTGTCACACTTGTCAAACCTGTCACCTGTTACACCTGTCACACTTGTCACACCTGTCACCTGTCTCACCTGTTACACTTGTCAAACCCGTCACACCTGACACACTTGTCACACCTGTCACCTGTCACACCTGTCACACCTGTCTCACCTGTTAAACTTGTCACACCTGTTAAACTTGTCACACCTGTCACACTTGTCAAACCTGTCACCTGTCACACCTGTCACACCTGTTTCACTTGTCACACCTGACACACCTGTCATACTTGTCACACCTGTTACACCTGTTACACCTGTCACACCTGTTACACCTGTTACACCTGTCACACCTGTTACACCTGTTACACCTGTCACACCTGTCATACTTGTCACACCTGTCACACTTGTCACACCTGTCACCTGTCTCACCTGACACACTTGTCACACTTGTCACACCTGTCACCTGACACACCTGTCGACTGCTTGTTTTTGTTTCAGTGTTATTTTTTCACCATCGAGTTTGGACTCTGCAAACAGGACGGTCAGCTGAGAGCTTATGGAGCCGGCTTACTGTCATCCATCGGAGAGCTCCAGGTAACACACAAACACACACACAGTAACGCACATGTACACACACACACACACACACACACACACA